ATGCCCACAAGGAGGTACCAGGCTGTGACCTGGTTAACATGCTAGAATCCACCCCTACACTTCTATATATCAAGTTGACATGAAATTATGTAACTACCACACTACAGAAAGGCATTAGACTGTGTGGATCATTGATAGATAGATAGATAGATAGATAGATAGATAGATAGATAGATAGATAGATAACATCACAAAATATGGGAGTTGTAGTGCACTTCCTTATGTTCATACAGAACCTGTACATTGACTAAGAGGCAGTTGTTTGAATAGAACAACTCATTGCCATCGAGTGGATGCCAACTCTATAGGGCAGGGTACAACCACCCCTGTGGGTTCCTGAGACTACCCCTTTTTAGGTGTAGAAAGCTGGTGGTTTAGAACTGTGGACCTTGCACTTAGCAGTCCAACCTGGAACCACCACAACTAGAGCTCCTGGTAAGGGAATAATACTTGGTTTAAAATCAGAAAATGTGTGTGTCTTCTCCCCACACTTACTCAAGCTGTACGCTGAGCATATAACTTGAGAAGCTGGGCTGTGTGGAGAAGAAGAAGATGGCATTAGGTTTGGAGGGAGCCTCATTAACCTGTAACATACAGGGGACACAGCCTCGTTGACTGAAAACAAAGAGGACACAAAGTATTTACTGATGAAGATCGAAGGCTGCAGCCTTCGACATGGACTGAAAGTCAATGTATAGAAACCCAAAATCTTAATTAGAAAGAAAGGAAGGAAGGAAGGAGAGAGAGAGAGAGAGAGAAAGAAAGAAAAGAAAAGAAAACCAAACCCTCACATTTGGACCAATAGACAGCATCATGTGAAACAGAAAAAGATTGAAGTTGTCAAGGATTTCAGTTGACTTGGATCCACAATCAATGTTCATGGAAGCAGCAGACAAGAAATAACGTAAATGTGTTGCATTGGACAAATGTATTACAATAGACCTCTTTTAAAGGGTTAAAGGACAAAGATGTCCCTTTGAGCACTGAGGGCACCAGGCCCAAGCCATGGCACTTTCCCATCACTTCTCATGCGTGTGAAAGTGGGACAAGGAGAAAGGAAGATGGGGGAGAATGAGCGTTTGAATGATGGTGTTGGTGAAGGATATGGAGAGTACCACGGGCTGCCAGAAGAACAAGCAAATCTCCCCTGAAAGAGGGGTAGCACAATGCTCCTGAGAATCAAGGATGGAGAGACTGTCTCCTGGCCTTTGGACATGTCATCAGGAGAGACCGGTCCCTGGGAAAAGGCTTCTTGTTTGACCGAGCGAGGATCAGTGCAAAAAGAAGACCCTCAGTGAACTGGATCGACACAGACGCAACAACTATGGGTTCAGACACAACCACAATTGTGAGGATGGCACAGGACTGGGCAGTGTTTCTTTCTGTTGGACGTACGGTCACTGTAAGTCAGAGCCAACTCAACAGAACCAGAAAAAAACAACCTCAAGCTGACTGGCTCGTCTCTTCCCTGCGACCCTTCAGTAAGGGGGTGTCCAGTTGCCTGAAGATCGGCTTTGGGTCTCCCCTCTGCATCACCCTCATTTACAATCATATGGGTTTTTTGTTCTTTGATGCCTGATCCCTGATCCCTTCCACACCTCGTGGTCACACAGGCTGGTGTGCTTCTTCCATGTGGGCTTTGTTGTTTCTGCGCTAGATGGCTGCTTGTTTATCTTCAAGCCCTTAAGACCCCAAACACTACATCTTTTGATAGCCCGGCACCATCAGTTTTCTTTACCACATTTACTTATGCACACATTTTAAGGTGCATTGTACTGAAGGGTAATATTCATTGTTTTCCTGAGCTAAGACTTCCACATTCTTGAATTGGGCAACAGGTGGTGCCATTTCCCAAGTCAGAAAATATGGAGCTGGAGCTGGGGGTGGGGTGGGAGGGAAGAGATGTATTTAGATCCAAGCAGGTTAGATTAAGCTCCTCAACGAATAGGCATCCTATACGAGGCAATAAGAAATTTATAAATGCAAACGGCATATATGTAACACTTTACAGTTTTTATAAAACTCTTCTTGGATAGTGAGAAATAGCTAGAGCAGACAGTGTGTGGTGCTCTGAGGAAGCTTCTCGGGAGAGGAGAAGCATTGAGAGCAATATCCACTGAGAACACTGAAAATCCAGCACTGCCCTTCACTGGAAAGACAATAACATATTATTACTATTTGAATCTAGCATGATTGGTTTGGCTTGATTTTTTTTAGTATGTAAATTTCCTTCTTTTTTAAAAATCATTTTATTGGGGCTCATGCAACCTTTATCACAATCCACACATGCATCCATTGTGTCAAGCATATTTGTACATTTGTTGCCTTCATCATTCTCAAAACATTTTCTACTTGAGCCCTTGTTATCAGCTCCTCATTTTCCCCCTCCCTCCCAGTCCCTCCTTCATGAACCCTTGATAATTTAGAAATTATTATTATTTTGTCATATCTTATACTGTCTGACATCTCCCTTCACCTACTTTTCCATTGTCTGACCCCCAGGGAGGGGGTTATATGTAGATCCTTGTGATTGGTGCCCCCTTTCTCCCCCATCTCCCCCTTTCCCGCTTGGTATCATTAATCTAATTATTGGTCCTGAAGGGTTTATTTGTTCTGGAGTCCCTGTGTTTCCAGTTCTTATCTGTACCAGTGTACATCCTCTGGTCTAGCCGGAGTTGTAAGGTAGAACTGACATCATGATAGTGGTGGGGAGGAAGCATTAAAGAACTAGAGGGAAATTGTAAGTTTCATCATTGTTGCACTGCACCCTGACTGGCTCGTCCTCTCCCCACGACCCTTCTCTAAGGGGATGTCCAGTTGCCTACAGATGGGCTTTGGGTCCCCACTCCACGTACTCCCTCATTGATAATGATATGATTTTTGTTCTTTGATGCCTGATACCTGATCCCTTTGGCAGCTAGTGATCACACAGGCTGGTGTGCTTCTTCCATGTGGGCTTTGTTGCTTCTGAGCTAGATGGCCGCTTGCTTACCTTCAAGCCTTTAAGACCCTAGACGCCATATCTTTTGATAGCCAAACCCCACCAGCTTTCTTCACCACATTTGTTTATGCACCCACTTTGTCTTCAGCAATCG